ATTAGTTTAGTTAATTACTAATTAACGAATCACGGTTTGCAAAGGGTTTATATATGCATGGGCTGTAAACAATATAGGTTAAACGGGTTACATGTTGGAACAAGTCAATTTAAACTTTTAAGGGTTGGCGTAGAATGAGTTACATACTGAATGTCAGTTTGATTACAAGTTGAGGTCTCGCAAGTTGATATAATACTTGGTACAAGTCTTAAACGACTCAACATTATTCGCTTTAATTAGTGGGTTGAATAAAAGCAATTGGAGTCAATTTTCGATTCCAAAATGATAGATTTTAAGTAGTTTGGTTCTAGACTTCAGTTAGATTAGGTCAACAGCAAGCAGTTTCACGGTTCAAGTTGAATTTGACAATGCTGCATATGTATAATTAATTAGTCCTTAACCACTTTGATTTCTGATCCAATTCTCCATGCCTTTATTTCCTCGAGGCCACTTTGTTTAATTTCAAGGGCTTGTTTGGTTGACATGAAAAACATAAGAAGTGAGACTTCCTAGAAACTACAAGTTAAGTTTTTTTTTTTTTTTTTTTTTTTTTTTTTTTTTTTTTTTTTTTTTTTTTTCAGGAAACAAGTTAAGTGTATTTTTTTTTTCCTGAAACAAAGCTAAGTGTATTGTTTGGTAAAATAATATTCGATAAAATTAATTTTAGTTCAATGAAACAATATTTGGTAAAATTAATTTTTAGTTCAATAAAATAAGTTCAGTTTAGTAAAAAAAAATTTAGTTCAATAAAAATAAGTTCAATTCAGTAAAAATCAGTAACTTTAATGAAGAAACATAATAGAGAATAAGTAAAATTAGTTTCAGTTTAATAAAATCAGTTGCAGTTCTATAAAAACATATTTAGTTAAAATAATTTAAGTCTAGCAAAAACAATTTCAGTTCAATAAAAATAATTTCAATTTCAATAAGTCTTGTGTAAGCGGATGTACGTTAATTTTATTGTAAGACGGTCAATTTGAGGATAACTTTAACTATTTTTTTTGGTAACTTTAACCACTTAAAGATAACTATTAATTTGTCGTTGGTTTGATTTTTATTTTAATGTGTAATCTTATAGATTCATAATTACATACTATAAAGGCTAATATGTTTAATCTAATACATTATAAGTTTTTTGTATGATAAAATTTATTATTAGAAAAATAATAACTTTTGTAGTATAATGGGTAACTTTAAATACTTTTATGATAACTTTAACCCGTCTTACAATATATTAACGTACACCAGCCTTTTTGAAGAATTTGTGTTTCCATTTAGCAAAAATAAGGTGAAATAAACATGACCTAAATATAGAAATTTTCAAAAAAATTTACTTTCCTTGTGATTAATGGGAATTAGATTCCATAAATTTGCCATTTATGAAAAATTCTAATTCATACAGAGTATGTGAACCAAACGACACCTTTCGGGCAAATGTGAAAATTGGAAAAACTCTCTAGTGAGAGAATCTCTCTACCTCTTTTCATCCTTTTTCTTACCTTAGCTTCCTCTTTAAATCCTAATCATGTCTGATATAATCTTTCCTAGAACTTTTGTATTCCCTCATATTATAGGTATCTATCAATTTCCTCCTCCTATTTTTCAAGAAAGTGACATCGATTGGCAGTGTAGTGTTATAGGGAGATTTTGGGATGCCCGTAAATTCTCTGTGGGTCTTGTTCAACGTTTAGTTTTTAGATTCTAGCATCTTCGAGCACCAGTCCGAGTTTTTCCTTATGAAAATGACTCTGTGTTTTGCTGCGAAAATGAACAAGATGCAGAAGATTTGGACCGGCGTGGCCGGGTGCACTTCAAAGGTAGGCTTATGGTATTACAACTCCTACGTGGTCATGATGTTCTTCAAAATTTAAATCTTAATCTAGCTCCCATGTGGGTTCAAGTGCAAGGTTTTCCCATCCGTTACTCGGTTCCCGAGGTGGCTTTCTCTGTTCTAAATCATGTAGGTGACTTACTTATGGAGGAAGAACATAACGGTCAGTTCCCTATCCCTAAACCTAGAGTCAAAATTTTAGTTGATTTGTCGTTACCATTGATTGTGGGTTGTTTCTTTCCGACCTATGGCAATCATGTTACTTGGGTTCGGTTTAAATATGAGGGGATATTCTGCTTTTGTAAAAAGTGCGGATTTGTCGGACACGGTCGTGGATCTTGTCCAAAGTCATAAGAATTAAGTAAGCTCCTCTTGGAGCGCCGCTTTTGTAAGCTACACGAAAGCGGCGCACGTGTTTTATTTGGTCCTACGGATGTTTCTTTATACTCTAATTCCATTCGTGGAATAGCTCCAACGCCTGATAATTGGACTATTGAATTATGGTTTGGTGAAAATGATGAAGGGGATCCTCTTGAATATCCAGCTGACTCTCATCCTTCAAATTGAGACGAACTAAGTGGCGTCATAGATAATATTTCAACAACCTCGGTTAATTCATCTCTTCCCCTCTTCTTTCGGTATCTCTTCCGGGTTTATTTCCCGGACCACCATAGAGTGGCTGCCGGAACAGTAGGGACGAAGTATGGCAGCGCAACTTAGGTATCAATCGGTGCATCAAGGAGGATCTCGAGATTGATGAGGTTCCACCGAACAATGGGTCTCTAAATCCACGTGTGCATCATGAAAGCTATCATCATCATGCTTGGTCTCATGTGAGTAATTGGCAACACCCGACAGCTGGCGAGATGGATAATTTCAATCCAATTCATGTTTATGCCACATGATCCTTTTATGATGCCTTAATGCCTTATCATATATTTCAGGTTCAAGCTCCATCTCACAGTCAAGTATTGAGTCCGACCCATAATCCTCCTCAAACTGGGCCCCCATGGGATACTTTACTTGGATCAGACCCATATCAAATAGCCTCTACTGCTGGTGGGCCTCTATTTTCTGGGCTTCAAGCTGAACCGCACTATCATGGTATTTTATTTCTAATTGGTATACACTAGACCCTAGTGTAGGTAGGGATACCTACACCCCCCTCTAAATGATGCGTTTATCATGTTACCCACATCCCATAACCCACTAACCTACTGTAACTACCCACCATTCTCTCTAAAACCTTCTTCTTCATTTCTCTAGACTTTCTCTCTCATCAAAACCAGAAAATATGAACCAAAATTGCTTCAAAATACTACGAAATTGCTTCAAAATACTACGAAATTGCTTCAAAATATTGCTAAATTCCTTCAAATGTCTACATTTGCGAAGAAATTCAACAATCGCAACAACATTCACAGAAAGAGTAAGTAATTTTACTAAAAATTTTTGTATGAACCTATTTTTTCTACTACGTATTTCATTTTGAAATTACATGTTCAGAAACATAATCTAACTTGATTAGAACTATTTTATGCAAAAATCATTAAAATCTACTATGTTTTGTGTTTTTTTTTTACAGAACCGAAAAATATATTTCGAATTAGAGAGATAAAGAGAATGAGGATTCAGAGAAGAATCATGTTCGTTGAACATAACAAGGCATAGTCTGAAGAAACGTAAGTATTATTTCAAAAACCTATTTAAACAAGAGTAGAAAAATTTTAAAAAAAAAACAACGAACAAAAGTCTCAAGTTGTAGATCTAGAACTTTTAAAAGATATTAAAAAGTCTTATGGTATAGATGTTAACATTTCTACGATTCCGAGTTAATATACGAACATATATAGAATTATAAATGTTCATTTGTATATTTGAATTTATTTGAGTTTATATTTGACTTTATATGCCTAAATAAATAATGTTCATTTTTATGATATGTTATGCACATTTATGAAATGCATAAATAATCATTCATTTGAGTTGATAAACTGACTTATTTATTCTATCAAATCTTTTGATCATTTATGAAATTCATAATGTTCATTTACATATAAAGTAATGTTCATTTTAAAATATATGTTAATATTGGTTCATTTCAGTTTACATATATATTTATATGCCTAAATAACGAATGTTCATTTCTTTTATACATTATCCTCATGTATAATATTGATAATGTTCATTTGTATGCATTAAAACTAATATCTTACAACCAATCTAGCTATATTGTAGTGATGTCCAAAGTTACACATTTGATATAAATTTGCACATGGAATTGAAGAATACGTAGTTGTTTTGGAGAAGATAAAATGGCTTAACAACGCTGATTATACAAACTGCGGAGTATACATTATGAAGCATATAGAAACATTCACTACTAAACTTAATGAGAGTTAGATTTGTGATTTGAAACCAAATAGTGTAAAAGTGATAAATGTTCAATAATGTAAGATATATTGTTCATTTATAAAGTAGTGTATATAATAATTAACATTTGTTAATTCATTTTGTTCAACAGGTGAACCAAATTAGGAAGCAAGGATGCGGAACTGATGTTATTTGAAGAAAAACACTAAATATAGGTTAAATAGAAGATAAGCAAGGAAGTTTGCAAATGAATAGTACATGTTATATGTTCATTTATGAAAGTGTATATGTTCATTAATGAATGTGTATATGATCATATCTTATACTTCCTCCGTTTCTTTTTACTTGCAACACAGCCTTGTGGCACGTGTTTTGAGGTCGGGTTTATGTAATGTAAACGGATAAATTATTCATTATAATTTTTACAAATGATACTTAACCCTATTCTAATCTTCGTGTAAAAATTATATTGATAAAATAGCTCGTTTACCCTCACTAATCATCTCCTAAAATTGCGTGCCTAAAAGGTGTGTTGCAAGTAAAAGAAAACGGAGGAAGTATATAGTTTTATAGATGATTTTTTTTGGAGGAAAATAGACTTATAGATTTTATTTGTTAAAAAAATTATTGTAATTGATATTTCATTTTAATCTTTATTTGTATGAAAAAATATATATAATTTTTAGGTTTTATGAATTGGTTGTTGGTTCTTTACTTTTGTTCATTTTCAAATTGATAAATAATCATTTACATATGTTGAATTTTAAAAAAACAATATACTAAAAAAGGTACTATATAGAAACAAATTCTTATGTCTTTAACACTTGAAGAACTTTGAACAAGAGCACCTTGATCATTTATTGGAACCGTGGGAGGAATAACTTAAACATTTGTCGATTGAACATTTCTGGAATGGGGTTTAAACATTTCTAGATTGAAGTTTGAACAATCCTGAGTTGAAGTTGGAACAATGCCAAGAACTACGGGTGGAACAAAATATCTAGTTTGAGATTTTGTAGACGCATTAGTACTCTTGGATTAACTTGAGCATCATTTTTAACACCAGCACCACCTTTATTTATAGGAACATTACATTGAGCTTGAGCAGCAGAAACACCAGCAACACTTTTATTTATAGGAATATTTAAATCCTTCGACTGCAAAACAAATTAAATGATCATATTAAAATATATAAATGTTCAATTACAAACACTTAAATAAACAGATAAGAAAAACAAAACTTTAGCAAGATATGAAATATCAGCTTTTTTTCCCACTGCACAAAGTTTTAATATACAATTATAAATGAACATAACAAGTTTCAAAAAAATGATCATATTAAATCCTTTAAACACTAAATCCTTCGCCTTCAAATAAAAGTTAAATGATCATATTAAAATATATAAATGTTCAATTTCAAACACTTAAATAAACAGATAAGATCAAAACCTTAGCAAGATATGAAATATCAGTTTTTTTTCTTATTGCACAAAGTTTTAATATACAATTATAAATGAACATAACATGTTTCAAAAATGAACAATAATTAACAAATACAATGTTCAATAGCAAAATTGCACATGATCAATGTGGAAAATTTTGACACATAATATTATCAAGAAAAAATGGTAAAAACAAATAATCATATATGACATAAAAAAATTAAGAAGTACAAATGATAACACATAATTGATTAATTTTAAATATAAAAATGATCCAAAAAAAAAGCATACAAACAAAATCACGCAATTTTCAAACATAGAGCAATGAAATAAATTGAAGCAGCGAAATATTCATAACAAAGTATGAACAATCCAAAAACGTTCATCATAATCATAATCAAATTTTGAAAATTGAAGCAACGAAAAGAATAATAATACATAAATTAAGTTGAAATAAACAGAGCATTATAACACAACAATGTATTGATGATAAAAATTACAAAATTATGATTGCAATTACTCACATTGTTGATGAACAAACGAATCAATCAATCGAACTCTAGAAGACGGAAACACACTTTCGTAATCACGATCGAAATTAGCAGATGAAGAATCAGCCATTGATGATCAACAACAATTATCAAAATCGTAGGAAAAATAAACGGCAAAATTAGTATAAAATCAAATGAAGAAGATGAATTAACTAGAGAGAATGTAGGTAGAAAAATGGAAATTGATCAATTGAGGAGAGAGAAAATATTGGGTTTAAAATCATTTATATACATAGCTTGAATAATAAGAAACAAGGAATTAAAAAAATAAATAAAAAAAAAAGGGAAGAATTGAAGCATGAATGAGCTCGTGAGTACTCCCCGCAAGCTACAAAACGGCGTAGCATCAGGGGGTGTAGGTAGACCATCCTACACTAGGATGTAGGGTATAATTTTCATTTTATTTCAAGATCTGGGCCAACCCACCATGAATCCAGTTCCTATCTTTTCCCCTCCTCCTCTTAGGCCATCTAGACCGGTCTTTCCTGACCCTTTTGGTGCAGGTCCAAGCAACTGGATCGGGGATCATAACTCTTCTCCTTTTGAATCAACTCACCAACAGTCTGGATCTCCATCTCCTTCATTGGCTTTGTCTTTTCCTCGGGTTTTGCCAAACAATTCGGGGTACCAGCTAGACTCTTCATCTGGGGGCTTCGAATTCTCACACTCTCCTCCATCTGTCCATTCGACTACGGTGGAGCTGAGCAGATTCTGATGAGCCGACTTCTATGGACTGGTCTCCGCAGCCATCTCCGGCTAGAGAGGAAATAATCTCTGTAATTCCGCTATTATCTGACGGCGGTAAGGGTAAAGTCGCACCACCATTGCGACTCAAAATCACCAGAAGCAAAGATAAAATGTGGCAATGGGTGAAAATGGCGTGTCATACCAAGCACACTGCTTCGATTTCAGAACCAGGAACTCCTCCCGTTGAGTCTTCGCCGGGGTGCTTCTCATGCTTCAAACCTCTCAAAAAGCACAAAGGTTTACAAGGACAACCAGTTTCTGAATCCTCTTCACTAGCACACTCTGATCAGGGGTCGGTGGCTCCCCTTCAAGAGCCACCTTTGGGGCCATGAACATCGGTGCTTGAAACTGTAGGGGTCTAGGTTCAGCGGACTCCCCTAAAGTTCTATACTTGTTGTCTCTAGTCCGCTCCTTCGCTATAAATATCATATTTGTTATGGAATCTTTTGCTGATGTAGATACTGCTGTAAAAAAGTTAGCTCCTTTAAGGTTTGATGGCTTTTGTGGTGTAGATTCTCAGGGGCTTAGTGGCGGGTTTGTAGTGTTTTGGTTCTCCCCGCTTAGGGTTGTTCCTCTTTTAATTTCCTCGAATGTAATTTTGTGTGAAGTTTGTACTCCAAATGATGATGAAATAAAGTATATAATGTTTGTGTATGGGTAGCCTCATCTTTCGGGTAGATCTGTTGTCTGGTCGGAAATTTCTCGGCTATTAGAAAATTATTCAAATATACTTCTTATTGGGGGTTTTAATCAGGGGGAATATAGTTATGTAGAGGTGATCATTAGGCGGGCCGGGCCGGAGCTAAAAAAATTTGCCCACTAACTTTGGGCCGAAATTTTTGTGCCCAAACCGGGCCCAAAATGGTCGGGCTGTGCGGGCTTTTTTGGGCCGGGCCTTAAAAATAAACTAAACATGCTTAAAAAATGCCTTCCCAAAACAAAAAAAAATCGGGTCGGGCCGGGCACAACCCGATTTTGGACCGAAAAATTCTGCCCAAAGCCCGCCCAAAATCGAGTCGGGCCATTCTTGATCAGGTCTAAGTTATGATAAAGTAGGGGGTTCTGGGAAAATAGCAGGAATAACAGAATTTTAGGAATGGAAAATTGAAAATGACTTACTGGATATCTCATTTTCAGGACCGTCTTTTACTTAGACTAATGGTTGTACTAATGGGGATCCAAATTTTGAACGTCTAGATAAGGCTTATGCAACTCAACATTGGTTACTTAACCACACGGATGCTTTTCTGCTCTATCAACCCATTCTATTTTCTGATCATGTAGCTATAATTCTACAAGAAAAGACCTCGCCTACTTTCGGCCGTCCTTGTCGGATTGATAACTGGTTGCTTCTTTCGAAGGCAGATGCGCGGATTATCTCTTTAACGTGGTTTGATCTCTGGACATTTCAGGCTCCCCTATGTATATTATTTCTAGAAAACTGGAACAGCCGCGTTCTAAAATGCTTTCTTGGTGCGTCAATCACAAGAAGTTATGGGGTATCAATTGGAAAGAGTTGCATTCTTCTTTGTCTCCTTTGTCCCAGAATTTAGATTCTAAGATTCATCGTCATCTGTTTCTTTCTTTACGGGAAGAGAAGGTCGCTCATTCTCAGGCAACCTTTTTGTACTGGAAGCAACAGGGTAAGGTTAAATGGGACACCCTTGGTGACTCCCATTCTCATCTTCTCTTCTCCTATGTTCAAGCTCGCCGATGGAAAAATACTATACAAGGTCTCAAGGACTCGACTGGAAGCTGGGTTCATGACTAGGAGGGTATTCGCAGAATTATTCGTGATTATTATTCACATTTATTCTGTGTTTTGCAGGATCATGTTTACTTGTCTGATTTCAACTGACCGGGTCTGCCTCAAATTTCGGAACATGATAAAAATAATCTCATGATTCCTATTTCTGCGGAAGAAATACGGCAAGCTATGTTCCAAATTGATGAATCCAAAACCCCTGGTCCAGATGGCTTCAATTTTGCTTTTTTCAAGTGCCATTGGTCAGTAGTAGGGCCTTCATTTATTTCTGCAATGCAGTATTTTTTTCTTCATGAGCATATGCTTAGAGAATGGAATCGCACTTTTATCACTCTCCTCCCTAAGGTGGAACATCCAGAGCAGCCTTCCTAGTTTCGTCCGATCGGGCTTTGCAATGTCCTCTATAAATGCATAGCCAAGTGTATTTCTGTTCGCCTAAGGAAGGTTCTACCTTCCCTGGTCTCAGACTTCCAAAATGCTTTTGTCCCCTAGTCGTCTCATGTCGGATAATAGTCTTATAGCGCATGAGATTCTGTCTTATATTAATAAATCCCGGGGTCGCACTATGTCGGCTGCTTTGAAGCTAGATATGAATAAGGCTTATGACAAGTCAGTTGGCATTTTTTATGGCATGTTCTTCAGGCCTTTGGCTTTCCTCCATATTGGATACATATCATTCAACAATGTGTCTCCACTGTTTCTTTTCAAATTTTAGTGAATGGTAACCTTACAAGGATTTTCAGGCCTATTCGCGGATCTTCATATCTATTGTCCTTTGTATGGAAATTTTCTCAGCTATGATTCGCAAGGCAAAACGAGAAAATCTTTTCCGAGGCATCAAAGTCTCCAGGCGGGCTCCTTCGATCTCTCATATGTTCTATGCCGATGACTTCCTGTTGTTCTTTCAGCATTCTCCTTCGGCCTATGCTGAGATTCTGAAGGTAATTCATGAATTTTGCGCTATTTTAGGCCAGATGATTAATTTACAGAAATCCTTTGTTCGTTTTAGCCCTAACGTCCCCAAGGATTATCGGGATTATTTGGCTCCTGCCATGCAAATGAAAGTTCAGTCTTCCCTGGGTTCTTACTTAGGTCTTCCCGTAGACATAGGCAGAAGTAAGTGCAAGGCCTTCCAATCTTTAATTGACAAGGTGGCCAACCGTTTAAGTGGTTTTGCCTCCCTTCATCTTTCGGCGGCGACTAAATTGGTAATCATCAACTCCGTTCTGGTGGCCTCTTTTAATCATGTTTTATCAGTCTTCAAGATTCCCTCCACAGTCACTGAGAAAATTAATAATCTTTGACTTCGATTTTGGTGGAAATCTACTTCTCGCTCTAAAGGAATTGCGTTAGCACCCTCCTCCCTTCTTTACAGGCCTAAAGGCCTAGGCGGTTTAGGTCTTCAACATCTTGGTCTTTTCATCAGCCCTATTAGCAAAGCAATCATGGCGAGTTATGCGGAATCCTCATCCGTTGGTTTCACGACTATTTCATGCCAGGTATCCTTTGCTTCCGAATCAGCGTTCTCAGGCTCGTCTTGTTCGTCCTTCTTGGGGTGGCAACAATTTGTTAGAAGGTTTCAAGACTCTGTAGCTGGGGCTCAGCTAGAAGATAGGAGACGGTTCATAGGTTCAAATTCTTGAAGATTCTTGGGTGCCGGGAACTCCTGTGCAGCTCAAAGACTCTTTTGCTGGATCAGTTCACCCGACTCTGGTATCTTCTCTTCTTGAACCATGCAGTAATGCATGGGATTCTTCTTTGGTTCACCGTTTGTTTCCTTCTTCTATTGCGGCCAAAATTCTGAGTCTCCAGCGACATCCTCAACTGATGGATGACTTTGTATATTGGAAGTTCACTAGGGATGGAGTTTTCTCGACTAAATCTGCCTATGCTTCCCTCATCCAACATTCGACTCTGTTTACTCAGGATGATTCCTCTGCCCCTTCTTCTTGGTGGAAAAGGCTTTGGGCCTTGCCTGTTCTTCCTAAGTGGAAGCCCTTTGTTTGGAAGTTGCTTCATGATGCACTTCCTGTTGCATCCAAATTACGGAGTAAGGGTATTCCCATAGATCCTACTTGCACCTTTTGTCATCTTACTCCAGAGACGATTGATCATCTTTTCTTGCATTGTTCGTTTACTCGACGTCTTTGGGTTTGTGGTCCTTTGGGTATTCGCCTTCTTACCTAGGATCTTCTTTCCTTCCCGCTTTGGTTTACCAATTTGGTCGCTTCGGTTTCGCAGCATGGGAATTGGTTTGGTTTGGATTCTATTTTATCCTTCACTTGGGCAGTTTGGGCCTTCAGAAATAACATTTGGTTTCGAGGGTCTCATCTTTCCTCCTCAGCTGTCATCCAGATTGCTCAAGAATGGCAAACTCATAGTTTTTCGGTTAGGAGCAATGCTCAAGAATGGCAACCTCGTAGCTCTTTGGCTAGGGGCAATGCTTCTCCTTGGTCTCTAGTGTTTTTCATGTCCCTCCGTGGTCTTGGAAATAATTTACCCCAAGTTGATCTTATTATAGATGGGGCTTGGGATTCCAATGACTGTAGAGCAGGTACAGGTTGGTGCTTTCATTTGCTGGGTATTGCTCGTTGTCTTGGGGGCGGAGCTCGGGAGTGCTTTGCCTTCTCAGCGACTCAAGCGGAAATGCTTGCTTGCCTTTTTGCTTTACGGATGGCGCATCGTCGAGGTTTCACTCATCTTCAAATTTGTACCAACTGTTTGGCGGTTCTTTACAGTCTCAGGGACCACTGCTCTAAGGACATTTCGACAGTGTGGATTCACCAACAACTTGAAGATATCTTGTCTGTCTTCTCTGTTTGCACTCTAACGAAGGTCTCTAGGGATGATGTTTGGCCTGCTCACCAGCTTGCGGTTTCGGCTAGAAAGCGTCATCTTCTTTGTTATTCCTTCTAGTTTGTTTGTTTGTTTCTTTTTGAGTGAATCTTTGTTAAAAAAAAAAAAAAAAAAAAAAAAAAAAAAAAAAAAAAAAAAGACGACACCTTTCCTTTTTCTCGATCCAAACCCGTCAAATTGTCTTTTCCACGAATTTGCCTTATCCATCCAATACAATTTCTCCCTCAAAACGAGATGCAATGCAAGTAATGCAACCACCTCCAATTCTTGCACAACTTTAGAACACTCATTTTTCCAAAGCTTTCCAACAATGGCGGCAACACTCTTTCTCCTTCCTATTGCTGATTCTCATCACCACCCCACTTTCCAATCAAAATTCTCTCCCAAATCAAAGCTCCAACCTCTCTTTCTCTCTCCTTCTAAAAGATCAAATCAATCCAATTTCAACTCCCAATTCACTCGCTTCTCCACTTCTTCCTCCTCCTCTGATCATCCTTCATCTTCACCCCAATCTTCCATTGCCTACAACACGCAAAACCCACTAAAGTTTAGCCATTTTTTAACGGATAATGAGCTCCAAAAACTTCAATTTCTTGAAAATTACTCTTATTCTTGCAAATTGCCATCTGGGTATTTGAGTATTAGGGTTATGAAGGATATGGAGCTTAATGTGACTGTTGAATTGCTTGCTGAATCATTTGCTGAGTCCATGTTTTTGCCTAATATGTACTTAACTGTGTTGGGTTTTTTGATTAAGCAGTATTTGATTGAGAGGAGGGGTTTGATGCCTCATTGTGTTACCCTACTCGGATTCTTTCGAGGCGAAGAAGGGAATGTTGATGTTGATGGTGATGGTGAAGGTAGAGAAGAAGAATTAGCTGGGACAGTGGAAGTGTCCTTTGATAGAAGGGGTGCTAATTCTTCACCTCCTACGCCAACCCCACCTAAGGATTGCCCTTACATATGTAATATGACTGTGAAAGACCGCCTTCGAAGGTGAAATTCTCATTCTTTGATTTATAGCGCTTGTAATTCATATGCAATTTACATTTTGTAGAATTATTGGTAATCTTGATGAAAAAATATTTTGCCTATGGAAGTGAGAGTGCACGCTTATGTGGATTTTGCTGTTTTGGATTTTGAGGACATTATGTTTATAACATTGGTGCGGCCTATTATATGTTGTAAAATTGATAAAATGCTTCGAATTAGGATTGGGATTGAAATGATCTTTGTTGTGCAAATTGCTTTCATATGCTATTAGTCTTGATGTGGCTTAGAGACGTGTCACACTCTGACATTTCGTTATTGGATAGAAATGGTTAGCTTCTTCATACATGTCTGTATCTGTAAATTTAGCAAGTTAAAAGTATCTAAAAAAATTGGGTGTTTGTAGAGAATAAGCTGCATGAAGGTGCTATCATAACCATCGTATAACAGAAAGGCATTAATATAAACCTAAAAAGCAAAGTAAAGGCAACTTCAATTCTTTTTGAAAATTTAAGGACCTTATAATTTGAGGCTCCATTCTTATTAAAATATGACGTTGATTTTCTTTGGAGTTGCTATTATCAGGGTGTATTTTTGCGCTTGGGTAGAAAGTAGGAACCAGGAGGAGCATGATCATTTCTATTGTTTAAGCACCACATTTATGTCCTGTTACTTTTGGTGCTTTCTTTTGAATTTGTATAGTGGGCTTTAGAGGAAGGTGCCTGAATGAGAAATTGATATAGTTACATCTTTTTTTCCCATAAAAGGTAATACAATTTCATTACCGTTAACAAGGCATAAATTACAAGATATTTGCAAAGCACAACAGACACAGCAGGGAACTACTGGTAAAAAGAACTATAAATATTGGCATGAGATATTTTACTTTGAAAAATATATGCTAATACCATTATCATTATGACCATTTGCAATGGCTGAGTTGATGCTGGCTCAAATGTCTACATACGATGCTTATAGATACATTTTTTTAAAAAAAAAATATTCTCAATGGCGAAGAGGTGTTTGTTTCACTTGTAGCATCTCTCTTAGTTGATACAAACATGTGCAAATAATCTTAGCTGTTCATCTAAAGTTCTGCGTATAGATTTTTTACTTCGCATGTAATTTCTCAGATACTTTATCTTAACCTGCTGCCTTAACATGAATGTTAGCCATCTTCTGTTGGATGCTTGAATTTTCAATGTTTGAGAAACTATTACAAATTATCTGCTATCTGAATGCCAATATCATTAAAGTGGAGTTACAACTTGCTAGATGTACACATTTCTATGCTGATATTGAAATGATGTGTATCATTAATGTTTGGCTGAGTTAGTAATAAAATAGTGGTGGTATTTGTTCCAGGAGGGGTATTGGTTGGCATCTTCTGAAGGCAAGTGAGGAACTAATATCAAACATGAGCTCCTCAAGAAATGTCTACTTGCATTGTAGAATGATTGATTCAGCACCGTTTAACATGTATAAGAAGGCTGGATACGCCATTGCTAAGACAGACAGTTTCTTAGTCCTACTCACCCTACAAAGACGGAAACATTTGATGTGTAAGGAGCTTCCTGCTTTGAGCAAGCCCTTGGAGACGGTAGTTGCTGGGGATGGAGAAGAAGACCCCTCTTTAAATGATGGGGCAGAATCAGAACCTTTATTGTTTAATGAGGTAATGATACTCTTCTGAACTTGAGAATGGGATTGTCTGGAATGATCAGATTCTTGTTCTCTCTTCTCTCTCAAACTCTCTCTCACACACTCCAGTACACCACCAGTGCACCAGGGTACCAGATGTGGACTTGTCACTTGTGTGTCTGTTCTGTGCTCAAGTCTACTGATTCATTATGATTTGTGCTCATGACTGAACCTGCTCATTTTTTGGTCAATTTCACATCTATATTATTCATTGTATCTTCGGCTTTTTGATGAAATAATCCTGTACTTAAACACACATGGAAGACTAAGGACATACAATTCGATTCATTTTTATAAAAAATTTCCTAGCTCTATTTTATTCACTGCCATGAGTTTAATAACATGTGGGTGGGAACAAATAAATAGTTATCCCCATGGCTTAAAAAGGCTAAAGAAATACTGATCACTTCTCCTTGATCTCACTTTGAATAGGATAGAGTTTTCTTTGGCATCATGCGATCTCTTGAAAGTCTTGAAACACCATATCTGATACCTTTGCATGCTAGTATTTTTTTCTTTGATTAGTGTGTCGCCTTTTTAATTTTCTCCCTGTGGTGCTGTAGATCTGTGATATGGGTTAATAACCTTGTCATTGTGCATTATGTTACAGAAATAATTGTATAATGTATATACATCATAGCTCTTTATGACTTTATTCCAAAACGAATACTATGATTCTCAAGACGACTAATCAATATCTTGAATCAACTTTTATTGCACTTCAGGTTTTGCAGAGCTCTCTTGATATGGATGGATGAATTTCAGCTTTTGGTGAGTATGAATGTTACTTACAATTTACTAATACAATTACAATCTGTTCATATTGTGTACAAATATGTATATATGAGTATATATATTTTTTACTGCCCTCAGAAATACCCTCGTACAAGAGAGAATAAAGATGTTACTTCTGATTTGGGCTTATTAAGAGTTGATACTTGAACTGTGCAAAGCTGCAAATTATTCTGTTTCACATGAACTCAAAAATACATGATACATGTATCATAAATACTAAAAAGACGTGTACACTTTTATACCCACACCAAGAAACACAAATGAGAGTTCCCCCCTGTTTGCGAGGGACAAAAGCAATGAAACCTACAGTTTTTTCCCATCAAGGAACTATTGTCTTCTAAACTAGACAACCCGAATCTTATAAGCTTGTGGAATTCCCAGATGAAATGAATTATTTGAACGAATATGAGTCATTCCTACGAGAGAAGCTTGTTGGCAATTTAGATCATTCGAAGTGTATGTAGAGCCATACCTAAGCCTTTGGAATTTGTATGGAAAATCAGTTGGAGCTCATTAACACACTCTGACATGGTTGGTCTTTCAGTACTATCGATTCGTACACAACGTGATGCTAAATTTGCAAACATAGCTATAGATTCCATTGTGTAAGAGTTCCGTGGTAGCTCAGGATCTATAATTTTCCGCAGCTTCTTTCGGTCGTTCAGCATGTTTCTGGCCTGAAACATTTTGTTGTATTTTGATGTCATTTGTCAGTAATACATTTCTAGGAGTTGTATATTGTGTATTCATCATAAGATTTGTAACATACCTGTAATACGAGGTTTTGATCTGTTGGTCCCTGGTTTAAATTGACCGCTTTACGTCCTGTCAAAAGCTCAAGAAGCACTACTCCAAATGCATAAACATCACTTTGTAGAGTCAGTCTTCCTGTCTGTCACCAGTATAGCATCTCATTAGGATCATTCTTATCACCTGATGCAATAAGTTTGTTGATAGATGATGAAGCATATGAAAGAGGACCTATCATTCCAATATGCAATTCAATCTCTTTCAAGGACTGACAATACTGCATAAATAACTTGATATTTTTGGACTAGAAATGGCAAGTTCAATATATATATATATATATATATATATATATATATATACATATTTTTTTTTTTTTTTTTTGGCTTGGGTGCTAGCTAAACTAGCCGGAAAATTCTCTAGGGGTTTGAACCTTAGACCTGGTTTCAAAATAAGCTCCCAATATTAGTATTAATTCTGTATGCCTTCTTTTTATTTATTTTTTGATGGAAACTTATGCTTTCTTATAAACCCAACATATCATAGATGGGGGTATTTTAATTGAAGGATTAGGCTGGGGTTATCTTGGCTCTTGGAGGCTTATCAAGTGTCCTTCAACCTCAAGGTTATGGAGCTGCTTTAGGTTCTTGTTCAGCTATAACTAGAATGTAGAGTTAGTCAAGATTTGCTTGAGATTAAAATAGCTATTCTTGCTCCTAGCTGTGTTCACAACATGAGGATGCTGATTCTTGGTCTGTGCTCACGACCACAACATGAGGATGCTGATTCTTGGTCTGTGCTCACGACTTTAGATTCTTGGTCTGTGTCCACGACTTGAGGATGCTGTTTCTTTTAGACGTATCCCAGATTAATGCATCTGGATTGTTATTGTTATGATATGGTAGCTTTTAACATTTTTATATTTAATCATCCCCTCCCCAATAGTATAGCATAAAACAAAGAAAAAGGACTGAGAGATTGAGATAAGAAAGCTGAATGTAGATTATAAGACTGTCAAATCCAGTTCTTATCTTATATGGATGCAGGAGAGAAAAACTAGCTGCTAAAGCTTTCAATGAAAAATAAGCATACCGATGTATACTCAGGGTCGAAGTAGCCAAAAGTTCCTAGTACATTTACTGTTGCATAAGTTTCTTGTCCCTCTGGCATCAACTTTGCAAGTCCAAAATCTGATATCTGTTTAAAAGCCGCTGTATGGTTAACAAATTGCTCAGCAATACAAGCAGCTTTGTGGGTCGGATTTCTTACCTTTGCATCAAAGTTGGTGCTTAAAAGAATGTTGGTGGATTTGAGATCTCTATGGATGATAGGTATACCAACTGCTGAACTTGAATGCAGATAAGCAAGCCCCCTTGCTGCCCCTAGTGCCACTTTGAGCCTTGTTGACCAATCCATCTTGCGTTCACCTATTTACAACAAATTGCAATTATAAGTTATTATTTGCTTATATTCAAATGATTTGAGAATTTTATGAATTATCCCTTCTGAATGAAGTAAACTTACTGTTCAAGTGATCCTGTAGGTTGCCATTCTGCATGTATTCATATACAAGGAACCGGTGCTTTCCATCGGCACAATACCCGATTAAGGTAACCAGATTCGGATGGTCCAGTCTGCTCAAGATGTCAACTTCCACCCGGAATTCACGCTCACCTTCTGCTGCTTTAAGTGGTGGCAGCTGCATTTTCTTGATTGCTACAACCTGAGGGATACACAAAGCAACAGCCTCTAATCAGAGATTTTATGATGGTAATATATTAGTAATATCATTTCTTTCACTCTTAACTTCTGCTCATATGAATAAACCTTGTGAACGATTAAAAGATCAAATTTGGATTGAATCTTATGCTGTTTTAGCTAATTAACCAGTGCTAGAAAAGAAAAAAAGACTCCTTTCCTAAATCCTAACCATACCTCTCCTGATCGAAGAGTGCCCTTGTATACCCATCCAAAACCTCCCTTTCCTATGAAATTCTCTTCGCTGAATGATTTGGTCGCTGCTTCCATCTCCTTGAGGGTGAAAACAGATGATCCTTGGCGTCTTTTTGCAGGTGGCTTCTGTTCCTCAAGTTGCCAAAATTCAACAGGTTTGTAAATCCCTGAAAATGTTTCACATGTTATCATAAATTACAAGATTAGCATTTATCATTTCAATGATTAGAATCCACTTTTTGCCAGTTTCTATTGTAACTTAAAAAAGGACACAATGATGAGCAAGGATGCATTACAAGATTCACCCTGGTCCTGAGATTTGCTCCTTCTCCGTTTGTTCCATGCCGAAACCAAGCCAAAGGGCATTATGGGAACACAAATTAGCCTTGTAGAACAAAGCTACTTCTTCGTGTGCTGGATGACGTTGATAAAACCGAACAAGCTTTGATTTACCATACAAGAGATAGACCGGCAGGCCAGCAAACTAAATTATGCAAGTATGAGTTGAGGAATCCTTAAGAGGAGTACATAGAGAGGAAGTGAAAACTTGATTTGAAGAATACTCCATTACACTAACCTTCCAACAACCTTTGAGATTTTAGAGAGAGAAAGTGAGATAGAGAGTACTTTAAGGAAAAGAAAAAGCACGAGTCTCAAGAGTCAGGAGTAGGGGTTGGTTTGATAGTGAGATAGAAGCTTAAGTCTCTTTTATTTTCTATTTTTTCCTGTAACTGTTTCTCTTGAAAGAGTGAAAAAATGGTCTGAGCTGTTGAGATGGCATTTTCATGGAAAATCTTAATAAAAAAAATCTTAATAAAAAAAGAAAAATTAAATAATTTGTCTAAACATTATTATTTCCTTCCACAATTTCCATAGTTTTAGTGCCTTTATTCCTTTTAACTGCAATCATCAACTTTTGATTTTATAATTCATTTTTCAGTATTTTTTTTTGGGGTGAGATTGCTTAGTTGTGCCACATTAATATATTTTTGAGCCTACCACAATTATATTTTATTGATCCACGTTTATTTAAGTGCTTTCCTGACTAGCAAAAAGTGCAAATATATCTTGTTTTAGAATCAATTAATATCTGTGTCTTTTTTTTTTCTCTCCTTTTTTTGTCTAAGCAAAAGTTATGACATGATTGATCTGGATTTGAATTACACTGTGGGGAGAAATGATGGATTAATCATATTCAATTATTCATAAGGTTTGGATAAATCCAATATCAGGAATAAAAGTTAAGAAATAGGAAAAGGTAGGGAATTTTGGTAAATGATCAAAGACAGAATTGCCATTTACTCTCTCTGTCACACATTGATTTTTGCATTTATCTCGTGGCATAATTATAGATAATGAGACATAATATGAGATAGAAGATCTCTACGGAGATCTAGCGACCAGTTTCAACGCTTGTATTAAGCATGGAAGGGCCACTACTAGAGCTATCTGATGGCATCATGGGCACCTGATAGATTGGAACGGGCATCTTAGGTGGAAGACTTGGCATGATAGTCTCAAAGTTGAGAACTTGAATTGCTTGCTTTATTGATGGCCTGTGATTGTAATCAGGATAGGCACACCACAAACCAAGGAGCATCAAACACTCGATTTGTTTAGTATCACATTCCATGTGATTAAGCTTTTGATCAGTGGCTAAATGTAGCTCACCATTGCCATAAAGATCCCACACCCAGTTTACTAATCCTTTTCCTTGGTGTGTTCCTGCCTCTATGAGATTGGTTGCCCTCCTTCCTGTGGCAATCTCCAATGCCACCACACCGAAACTGTATACATCTGATTCTTTGCTCGCCTTTCCTGTACTCAAGTACTCAGGGGCCATGTACCCAAAAGTCCCTGCTAGAGTTATCGTCTAAGCACTATGTCCATGCTGCATAAGCGTTGCTAAACCAAAGTCCCCAAGCTTGACATTGTAATTAGAATCTAGCATTATATTGCTGGATTTTATGTCGCGATGTAAGACACACTGCTCCCACTCCTCACGTAGATAAAACAATCCAGATGCTAATCCAAGAGCTATGTTGTACCGCGCAGGCCAAGAGAGAGGAGGCTTGTTACCAAGCTACCATTTGGCATGTACTCATAAAAAAGTAGAAATTCACCTTTATCATGACACCAACCTATAAGCTGCACCAGGTTCCTATGTCTTAGCACTAGGCGAAAATTGGTAATCAGCACCGGTTTAAAACTCCCATTTAGCACCGGTTTTGAACCGGTTCTGATTTGAGGGTTGCCAAATCCCAAGACTTTTCGCACTGGTTCTTGCTATGAACCGATGCAAAAAAGTCCCAAAAAAAATAAAAAATAAAACTTTTAGCACCGGTTCTTGCTGTGAACCGGTGCTAAAAAAGGCCCAAAAACAATTAAAAAAACAACTTTTAGCACCGGTTCTGTTTCAAAACCTATGCCAAGTATGCCCCACAATATTAATTTTTTATTTATTTATTTATTTATTTGTGCATTTTTTTTCACTTAAATTGTACCAAATACTTATATATAATCATAATATACATAAAACACATATATTTTCTTCAATAACTTGTAATATTACACTTTAAAAAACAGAAAAAAAAAAACAAACAAACTACACAATCAAAGATAAGAGGTAGTAGTAGCACTAAAGTAGTAGCAACAGCAGAGATAGATTAACAACTACGCCTTCACCAGCAGATGTGACGGAAGAATAGTGCTCCTCTTCTCCATATGAAAGCTTGAGCCTAGTGGAGACAGGGATTTGCTTCAACATATTCCTGGCTTGCCGTGCTTCATTCTGGCAAAAATTGTAACTCAACACATTATTTTTTTTTCCACTATCTGTGCACTCGAACAGAAAGGTTATTTGGGAGGTGAAAATGAACAGTTGTTGGGTGTGGTATGACCTCCATCTTACACCCTACTGCAACTAATGCTTGGGTGATTAAATTTAGATTACCCTGTCCACATCCAAGGCATTAACAACGAGCACTTGCAAAGTAAAGTAATAGATCAAAATATAGCAAATGAAAAAGTAAATACATTATAATTCATAAAAATCATCATATCTAACTACCATCATCATGTAAACTTGAACGCAAGATTGATCACAATATGCACATATGAATATAATAGCATTAAAGCTTCCTGGTTCACCAGAACCACTAAGCTCTACAAGTACCACAAAGATCTACATCAAGTTCATTAAAATAAAGCAAATAATTCATGAATCCATCGGGGGGGTTTTTTCATCCAAAAACTTCTCAAACTGTGAAACCTCAACGGACAAATCGGAGCAAATCACAGTGAGAAGCTGTACGATGAAAGTGAGTCCCTTCATCAAATGGATTATCCTAGTGTAACTATTTACGGCCAAGGGACTCAACGCATTATGATATCTATAGCACACGTCTTTAAAATTCATCAACCACTAGGACTCAACACATCTTTAAAATTCAAAGAATTTAAGAGGAGAAGTCAAATGCTGAAGCTACTAATAACCAACATCATGCATAGAAAAATTTAAGAGGAGAAATACACACGCACAGAGAGTACTTTCAAAATCTATAACTAATCAACTAGGCTCCATAAAAAAAAATAAAATTATTAACACATTATCAACAAACAATCATCTTAGAATAATTCCCCTTTCATCACTAATCATCAACCCCTAACATAGTCAAAACTTCTGCCTAAAAGTCTCAACAATTATTTCACATGATTGAAATCTAATGGAAAATAGTGTTGACTAGAAATTGGGATGAAAATCTCATTTTTTTTTTACACACATCATTGATGCAAACAAACTGTATACCCCCATTATATAGAGCAAATTGTATTCACTTAAGGTATATATACCCTATTAACCATCAAGTAAATCATTCTCAAATCACCATCATTATCATAACCATTAGCATAAAAATCTTATAGCCATCAATTAAATCATTCTCAAATCACCAACATTTTCTCAATCATCAACATAAGCATATTCATCAACATAACAATCTAATAATCATAATCATCATCATAAGCATAAGCATAATCAATATCATAGCTATCTCATAATCATAATCAATATTATAATCATAATCTCAATCAATATCATAGATATATATAATCAACATAACTATCTCATAATCATAATCAATATCATAATCATAATCACACTCCCAAAACTTCCAACAGTGAACTCCACGTCACCAAACGCAACCAAGCATATATAATACCCCCGGCCAGCAACAGATCACAGTTGCTGGCATCCAAATATATTTTCCAATACAACTAACCTAAATAAGATAAAATTTATTATAATTCAATAAAAACTAAAAATGGAGAGAGAAGACTTAGCTATGTGGTTCACAAGAATCATGCACTTGCATATCCAAGGGCACAAATATCAACTGAAGAGGCCTGAATGTCGCATGAATCAGTTGCATTACCAAGACCTTTAGGATCAATGGGACATGGCACAGTATCATATGAATAAGTAGCATAACCAAGGGCATTGGGGTCAACAGGAGACTGACTTGGTTGTTTAGCCACTGATTCAACCTCCTCCCCACCTTGGGTTTCATCACCACTAACCCCACCATCATAACGGCTACCATCCCCCCTATGATCAATAAACCGATCAAACCGATCCCTCCATACATTCAAGCTGTATGAATGCTCACCACAACAAGAAATCACGTGACAGTCACCATCACGTACTACACTCGTAAGGTGAAGACGAGCTCCCTCATCACCAGAATCAGCAAACCCTAGAAAACCCAGAAACTTCAAACAAAGAAAAACCCAGAAATTTTGAACCTAGAAAACCCTAGAAATTTCCCAGAAAACCCTAGAAGTTTGAAACAAAGCTCATTCCTTAGAATCTAACATTTCAAATTGAGGAGTATATTGATTAATGGCTTCAAAAAATCAAAACACTCAAAGGGAAACTAGATACTGCCAGAAAATAAGAAACAAAAAAAATAAGCACGAAATTCAGAAAATAAGCAATAAAAATTTTGGCCAGGGAAGGGAAACTACCAAACTTGCAAATCTGATATGCCAAATAATTTGATCGAAAATTAACACAAATTGATAGAAAAAATCAGATAAAAAACCGAAATTCCCAACAAATACTAGTAGATCGAAAATCTAACAAAAAATCAAAATTCCCAACCCAAAAACCCAAAGAAATCCAGAAACCCAAAAAAACCCAAAGAAACCCAGAAAAACCCAAAACCCAGAAACCCAAAAAAAACCCAGATACTCAGAAACCCGCAATTTCGAACATATTACATCAATTAAACCCAAAAAAATCAAGGCAATTTACCACTTGGTTCTAATGATGGTGGCTGATGCTTGCATGGTTCGAATAATTGACGGCGGCGGCGATGATTGTTGTGCTTGGTTTCGAAACTTCGACTAAGGCCGGTGGTTGTTGAGAAGAGGAAGAAGAAGATGAGAGAACAACGAGAGATGAGGAAGAAGAATGAGAGATCAGAGAAGAACGAGAGATGAGGGAGAAGGAGTGAAGAATGAGAGATGAGAATAGAGAGGCGGCTGAGAGAGAAGGAGAGACTGAGAGGGTTTAACTCGTATAAGGGTTTGGGGCACCGGTTAACCGGTGCTTCTTTTTTTTTTTTTTTTTTTTTTTTTCTTTCTTTCTTTCTTTCTTTTTGGCTTTCATTTTCTAAAACAAAAGGGATCGGTTAACCAGTGCCAACAAATTTTTGCCCACCGGTTTTTAAGAAACGGTGCGAATTCCTCGGTGCCCATTTGCTTTTTTCTACTAGTGTAGCCTGCTAATAATCTTAACCTCGGTACTATACTCTTTTTTTCCCTGTCTACTGCC